CATTTCATTTCATTTCATTTCAAGTCAACCTACTGAACCTGAGACGAACATAGAAGGGCCTTTTTTTACCAGTTTCTCTCCTCTATCATAATTATCAGCCACTTATGTCCATAAAAGAAATGTGTGGAATTAATGTTCAGGTAACTGGATCCATTTTGTCTTCTGCTGCCACAAAACTGTTTAAATTGGCACCACAAAAACCAAAAGCAAAATTATTGTTGCAAATGAAATATTTACAATATCAAACTTGCAACAGATTTCTTGAATGCAATATTGGTGGGACATTACATTTCCTTCCTAGATCCACAGTCTGCAAACCAATGATATTTGGTCAGTTAGATGCAGTCCTACTGGACCTGAGACAGCGATGCTTGACCTCATGCAGCAGGGTGGGAAATTGTGATATTGGAAATGAAAAAGAACAGTGGGAGAAAAGGGTGCTATTGTACTATGTAAAGTCATTCAGTCACAAGAGATTGTTGGAATATTTGGTATGAAATTTGCAATGCAGTCACACTGTGCATGGTCAGTTGCATGGGCTTTAACCACTCTTAATGCCCACTCCGTATGTATGGCTGTTATGTTAAAACTCCAAGATGAAAAAGAAAGAAAAGAGTCAGAAACATGCAGTTCAGTCATAATGACTATCATTGCTATATTCAGCAATTGTGTCCTTAGGACCTGAAATCATGCAGCCAGGATCCCAACATTCAACTTTATCTCAGTTTCTTGCCTTTGAAATACTTCAGCTCCAGCTTCACTACGTAGCTCGGCTACTGAATGTCAGTAACTCTTATTATTAAAGGAGTATTATGGATTTTTTCCAGGCACATAGTGCCTTTTTATAGCACAATCCAGTAATACCTCCAGTTGTTATGAAAATGCTGTATATGTCAAACATAATTTAACTTCACATCATAGTCGTATCCGACACCTTAAAATTGGACTCTGACTCTTTACCCTTTCCAACACTCCACCTTCAGGACTTCATCATGACAATGCTCTTCCATGATGCTGTTAAGAACTGCTGCCACTAGTCTGAAGGACCTGAGTGGGGAAGCAGTACTTGGCTGGTGACTGCAGCTCTAAGGGCAAACTTTGGCCAAACAGGTGGGGCTTTTATGAACAGGTGTTAAGGCTCCCCTGAATGGTTGCCATAGGAGATTCAAAGATTTCTCAAACATGCATAAAAGAATCTGAGCAGCACTCCAGGTATGTTTTTGATGAGGGATTAACATATGAAGCTGAAATAAATTTATTTTACATAATGCACCCTGTTAAAGTTCTAAAGAATCTTTACTTGCATCAAACATTGGTCTTTATATTGCAGCTGCATATCTCAGTATTGTGAGATACAAAAGAGGAATGCACACACTCTGGATTAAGACTCACCATGAATTGTGGTTGGAGGGGCAATAAAACGAGGGTCTGGGTCATCCGAGGGAGCTGGGGAAGGTGGCGGGGGCACGAAGTTGGAGAGGGGGACCCCCTGGGTGAAGGAGTCCAGACACATAGAGTCAAAGTACTGGGCAGCCAGGGTCTTGGAGTTGTTGGCGCTGGGGTTGAGGGTCTGGGCCAGCTGGTCCAGGGTGCTGTTGAAGGGGGTCTTAAGGACACATGTTGCCCCTACACCTGAGGGAAGTCGGAGGGTGTTGATGATCTTGTGTGGCCTGGCATCTGGTGACAGCGTACTCCTGCAGTTCCAAGAACCAGACAGTTACACAACACACTGCTTCACTTATACTTGGCTCAATCCTAGGACCTCTCTTATTTAATATCTGTATGATCTCATTAGCTCAAGTTATAGCAGGAAATAAGATCAGCTACCATAACTACGCAGATGATACACAGCTCTACATTACGAAGTCACCAGGTGACTCTGAACCCATCCAATCACTGAACAGATGCTTAGAACAGATAAATGTGTGGATGTGCCAAAACTTTCTACAACTTAACAGAAACAAAACTGAATTTAGTGCCTTTTGACCTAAAGAAGAATGATCTAGTGTCGATGCACAGCTTCACTTGCTACAGCTGGAAACTACAGATCAGGCCCAAAATCTGGGATGGACTCTGACCTGAACCTTCAGAGCCACATAAAGACAGGTACAAAGTCAGCCTTCTATCACCTGAAGAACATCTCCAGGACTAGAGGACTAATGTCTCTGCATCTAGAGAAACTCATCCATGTTTATCTTTAGTCACATTGATTCCTCCTACAGCTTCTTCACAGGTCTGACTAGAAAAATCAATCATCCAGCTGCAGCTGATCCAGAACGCTGCTGCTGCTGTTCTGACTAAAATCAGGAAGATAGAAAACATCACCACAATTTAAAATCCCTACACCGACACCCTGTAGTTCAGAGAACAGACTTTAAAATACTGTTAGTTTGAACAACTTGGCACCACAATACATTAAAGATCTGCTGCTGTTGTATCAACCTTCCAGACCCCTCAAGTCTTCTGCTCTGCATCTCCAGAACCAAACATGGAGAAGCAGCATTCAATATAATCTCTGTTTGAATAGATAACAAATAACAACTTGATAAAGTTATTTATTCAAACCTGTCTGAGATGGATATAAGCATGTAACCAGCAAAAATTGGGAGATTTTAGATATTTGTGTGTTATTTCTGTTTACTTATTGCTTATTCGCAGGTGTGCAATTAAAATATTCTCCCATTTGGCCAGGAACAGTGAGAAATATGAGTCCTGTGTGTTTTTGTATATTCCACTAATTTGCCCCTTTCTGTTCCCCCATAGCTCCAAAAACAACAACAACAAAAAAACAAATTATGTAACTGCTTGCATCTTAAAAGGTGGAATGCAGCAGCAGGAGCAGGTCCAGGCACCGTTCTTGTAAGAACCACAGCTGCTGCTACCTGTACTGGGGCCTGTCTTCATTTGCGTAGGGGATGAAGTTGCCTCTGGGCTGGGTGTAGTTATGATACTGAGAAGGAGACAGGATGAGTGGTGGTAGATCCCCTGTGAAACACAACAAAACCCAGCCTTCATCACGTTTTAACCACCTGCAGCACAGCCAGCAATAAAGGCTGGAGCACAGGTTATTGATTCTAACTGAAAGGAAGAGCTCACCGATCTCAGGCACGGATAAGGCCACAGTCATAGCAACACAGACAAAGAAAGCAGGCAGGAGGATCTGGGAGAAGAGACCCTTGGTGTTTCTCTTGGCACAGTGGAACCTCTTTATGATGAGGCCATGAAACTGACTCAGTTTCAGCCACCAGCCCTCCAGCTTGAAGCTGCCCTGCCCCTCCAGGTCTTCCAGCTCTGAGGAGGTGGGATTTTCTGGATCGCCTGCAGGGAAGAGGGATGTAATGGTGTGAAAACAATAAAATCCAACTAGAAATGTGTGAATTAGGAGACATGTTCTTTTTCATTCAGGAAATCTGACTCTTTGGTTTGTTGTTTTTAAAGCAAAAAAAAAAACAAAAAACAATTGGACAGTGAGTGGATCATTTTCTCCTTCCATCTCTGCTTCCCTCTACAGTGAGACAGAACTTGAGCTAACCTCTCAGGCTGGCAGAGTCCGACTCCTGGCCGTTCTCAAACAGAGGGCAGTAATCCCCAAAGAAGTCTGCATACAGCCCCCCCTCGTCTCCACGCACTGAGCCCACAGATGAGGAAGATTTCAGTGACAGCTGGCTCTGGCTGAGCCTGGAGCACTGCACCAGATTGCTCAGCTCAACCTCAGACTTCTCGTTGTGCAGCGAGGGTCTGGTCTCAGGCGCTAGTCCATCCTGAGCCCCTGATCCCACTGACAGCTTTCCCAGTGAGCTGCCCCCAGGCGAGCTCTTCATGTCTGCAGACAGATGGGAAACCCCAGGTTACTCAGCCTGCAGGAGAAGAGGTTGAGTGGAGACTGAAGGAGTGCGGTCTGACCAGCATCACTGTTGTCCAGAGACTGGTCCTCCTCAGAGACTTTGAGGAACACTTCCTCCAGCGTGGTGTCCATCACTCCAAAGCTGGTCAGAGCCAGGCCAGCCAAGTTCTGCTCCAAAGCCTGCAAACACACACACAGTATGGTTCTAAATAAATAAAACTATCTGACTTTATTATAAATGATGGTCAAACCTTTTGCTGTGTGTCTGTATTTCTATCTGCTCAGCAAGATTAAACAGTTAAACTAAATCCAGAACAGACATTAGCTATGGCTCTGCTAAAAAGGAACATTCAAAGTTTGATGGGCAGTTGTTGCACTTTACGACCAGCAGCGTCTCTCAATTTAAAAACAACATTCTTTTAACTTTATTCCCTACCTCTTTTTCCTTTCCTTTCTTTTTGCAATTGTTTTTGTGATTTTTATTTATTTATTTTTTTACAATATTTCTTCCTAATTAAATCCCCACAAAAATCTATGTTTTTTTTTCTAAAAAAAAATATTAGTAAAAAACAAGAAGCAGACTGGACACAAACATGTTTATTTACATAAGTGGCTTCACTTTTGTTACTCGCCAAATCAATCACAAACTTGACAAACTCCATGTCCATTGTCTTTGGGACAGACACAAAGCTATTTCTATTAATTAATCTTATAAGTTGATCAATGCAATTGATAACATTTTCTCAATGAGACGAGCGATCAAAGGAGAGCCTGCATAACAGGGTTTCTGTTGGTTGAAGCTGGCAACCAGCAGAAATCTTGGCATATCGACAAATTCAGAAGACGTCAGCAGTCGTTTCAGCCGTTGTCAAGCTGTCTGATCAGTGTGATGGATTGGGCCTTCTGATGAACGCTCAAACTAATATGCTATCAATGCGATTCCTGCAGAGATTTCCAGCCCGGATGCAGGTCCTGCAGCTCACTAGCAGGATGGAATCGATCTAGTTCGGTCTGGCGGGAACGGCCATACCAATTTGGATGATTGGAATCAACAGAGATGCACCAGGAGACTTTAAGGCAGATGGAAATTAAAAAAGTCTGCCCGATTGAAAGAATATTGTCTGTATCTGAACTGTGTCTGTGTCGGCCTTGGCTGACTATCTCAAATGTCCTGGATGATTTGTAAACAAGATGCTCCTTCCCACTTTGTTCCCTTCCTCAGGGCATCTGTGCAACTATGGAGCAGAGTGCTCCCACCGACTTGCTCTCAGGTAAGAACCCTGTATCAGAGACCTTAGCCTGGGAGTGGCTGGCTGTACGGGGTTCATGGATTTACTGCACACACATATCTCATGGGTACAGACACACATTCCCTGATTTTCACCACCTTTCGCTGGCCGCAAGAATGTTGCTACTTGTGCTGGGGTTTTCGTTATGCTTCCTGTTGTGTCATTTTAACACCCTGTCTTCTTCTTCTTATCACCATTAGAGCATTTCCAAGCTTAATTACTTATTTACTGTAGACCACCATTTAGCTTTATACTATTATATCAGAACAAGACCTAGAGAAACTCCTGTTAGTTTACAAATTGTGGAGTACTTAGCAACCCAGAAAAAGAATCACACATGAAGAACCAACATTTAGCTTTTTTCTTTCTTTTGGTTTTGATGTTTTGTTTGTATTTCCTTCTAATTCATGCAAAGCACTTCGAACTGCCTTGTTGCTGAAAATGTACTATATAAATAAAATTACATTTACCTTTAATAAAACACACACACACACACACACACACACACACACACACACACACACACACACACACACACACACACACACACACACGTGGTCAGAACATGTTAAAGAAAAATAAGCTCCTTCTGAATGGGAAATACACTCTGCTTCCTTAAATTCATCAGACATAATGCTGCTCATATAACTTCATACCATCTGTTCAAATTCCACAAATAAATTCTGCTCAATCTAGAGAATATAGTGCCAAGTTGTGGCTGGAATTTATCTGCAATCTTCTCAAATAATATCTTAAAAAAAAAAGCATAGCTCAAACATTTTGGAACTAAACTCAGCTAACTAAAGGTTGATCCCCATGCAGTCTGTCTGGAAGAAATCTGCAGATTTTCACAGACCCTGTTGACTCCAACTGGAGCTGGTTTGTACCTGGAACAGCCTCTCAAAGCAGCCCTTCTTGACTGATTCGGAGGGCAGGACATAGGAGAGCTCAGTGTTGGAGTCGGACACCAGCAGGCAGGTAGCCACAAACTGCTGAATAAAGTCGGTGACCCGGGTTTCTGAGCAGGGTGACAGCGAAGAGGATGGAGATGAAGAGGAGGGAGACTTGGGCTGGCTGGCCTGGCCTAGAGGGTCAAACCAAGACACAAAGGCTGGTAAAGGCACCACAAGGACTGATATGTAGTCTAACAGTAACCAAATGAATCAAGAATCCAGGTTCAACTAATCAAATGTGGCAGGAACAATGTGAACTCAATCAGGATCAGGACAGTAAGGTTTAAGCATGGCTTGCAGCTTGATCATGTGGAATTTGTTGTTTTTTTTACACTGACAGGAAAGTTGGAGTTTATTTTAAAGCAACATCAACAATAATATTATGTTAAAGCTGCAGTAGGTAACTTATAAAAATGTGGGACTGATGATGTGTGAAAGCTCCTCTGCCTCCTCTCTGTTGTCTTACTATTATATGCATAAATACATCACTCCCAGTCAGAAACAACCAGAGACAGGAGGAAGGGCTTGGCAGTGTCAATCATGCTTCTGCAAGTGCTGCTCACTCTACTCCCCAGCTCATTTCGTACTGCTGCAGCTGTGCTAACGACAGGGACAACCTAACAATACAGGAGAGCCGTTTATCAGCCATCATGGGTGGCCATGCATTCACAGCAGTCTCTGCTGTGGGGGCGGAGCTGTATCACCGCTGAGAGGAAGGAGGAGGGGCTTGACACCTCACAGAGACAGTTACCTACTGCAGCTTTAAACATACTCATAAAACATGGCAATGAATTTACCAAACCAAAGCAGGAGATCCTGGGCATAGACATGAACACGTAGACGAATCAATGAGCATCAAGTCCTACGTTAATTCGTCGCCATCTTCAGTGTGGCATTAGAGTGGTCAGAGGTCCATAATTCATATCCTGCGTGGACTTGTTTCAATCGTTTTACAATACAAACTATCCATTGGCATAACCTTTTACAGGTACAAATGAAAGAATAACATTAAGAAGCAGAATATTGTGACTTTGCAGCCAGAAACTAGCTTCTAAACAACCAAGAAGTATTTCCAATGTAACTAAATTGGCCCAAAGTAACTACTCTGGTTATAATTTTCTTAGCTTAGCTAATTTTTTTCATACTGTGTAAGTTTTCTAATGAGAGAGAGCTAATGAGAAACTGCTGTTAGAATGGAAGTGCATTACAGATCAGAGGATTTTGGAAGGACAGGTTAGACAGGACGAGAGCTGGAGCTGCTTTTCTTCAGTCTTCTGTTTCACAGCTCATTTCCACAATGTCACATTGTGGAAATGTGACATTAGGGTTAGGGTTAAAATCTACAGATTCTACACTGACTTGTAGAATCTGTAGATATTCAGATTCTACAAGTCAATGCCCAATATGCTGAAAATCTGTTTTTTCAGAATGTGAAGAATCAGGGATGAATTTTCTATTACACTGTTAGATAATTTGTCTTTCATCCTTGGCTTTAGCCTGTGTACCAGGATGTCGCAGAAATCACTGGACTGCTCCCACTTGACCAGCAGACTGAAGCCCTTCCTGTGTCCTGTATTGGTAGCATAATATAAATATATCTGTATTTTAATATACTCCTTTTTTTTTCTTTTTTTTTACTTTTTGTGTATTTTTAAGTGAAATACCTCAGTCTGAAGTATTAGGGTATTATCTATGCTGTCCATAGCATACTGTAATTAAATATTTTTCCCTAAAAAAATAAACAGTAAGAGAAGTATAGCTGATGTTTGACAATGACTGATTTATCAAAGTGTATTGTTTTTATAATAAAATACCTAAAAATTAAAAGGAGCATTTTTTCTTCATATCTTGAAACGACAAAGTGAACATTAAATTATGGAATTGTGAAAATATGCTCATGAACACACCTCTGTAAAGCCGTGTGTCTGTTCATCAATGTCAATATAAAAGCGATTGGTCAGAATATGTTGTATCAAATATAAACATTGTGCTCTTTATTCAGAAAGCCTCCAAAACAATTAATCACATCAACAAGTTAGAAATGTTGTATTTAGTGCTTTTTTTGATTCTCAAATATATTATAGAAATGTGTGTGAGAGAATGTATCAGTGAGAGGTATTAACTTAAAATACTTTGCATTTTAGGAAGTTCAGTCCATTTACTTGGATTAGCTTAATGGAAGATATGCCACAGTCAATAAGGCGGACCCTGTGATGTATTGCAGTAACGGGCCGACCCGATCAATGAGGCATCTATGTATTCATGTCTGTAATCCTGGGGATAGAAGCAATTCTTATAAAAGAAATTTTAAACTAGATGTTGTTAAAACTACACTTACAAATATCAGGAAAAGTCCTAAAGACTTTCCAAAAGTCTTTACATTTCGGAAAGGTTCTCATAATTTGGGTTTCCAAACCCTTTTGTTTGCTTTTGGAAACAGTCAGCTAATGTACTAGAAAAGAGTACATTAGCTGACTAATGTACTCTTATTCCACTAATGACTAATGTGCTTAATTCCACAAGCAGTCAGGTTTCATAGAAAACTGTTGATCAAGACCTCTTTAAAAGATTATGGGACTGTGAGGTTACTTGGAAGGAAAATCTAAAGAAATAAGCGAGGGCTCAAGGCTGTAGATACACACCTCTGCCTTCACTTTGCTTTTTCACCAGCGTCAGTTTGTATCCATCTCCATAAGTGCTCTTCAAGAAAAGTGGTGTTCCACAGCACTTCAGCTTTCCATGTGAGATGATGGCAATGCGATCTCCCAAAAGATCGGCTTCATCCATATGATGGGTGGACAGCAGGATGGTCCGGCCTGCAGCCGGACCATCAGATAATTACTGACAGCAACACATTAAAGGACAAGAGGAACATTGGCAGCGAAGCTTTGAAAACACATGTGGGGCAGTACAGGAAACATTAGCATTAGTCAATGTTGTCAACGGCAAACAGGATCTAAACTACAATACGACCTCCATAAAACTCTGAGCCAGGAGGACTTCACTACACATGAAGAACAGGAAGTCAGACAACACTTAACGAGGCTGATCCCCTTGTGTTTAAGTCAGCAGTTACACACACACCCACACACAGCTAATGTTACAACACTTTAAATATCAACCTGGATGGAAATAAGACTGCTTTAAGATCCACTCACCCTGTTTGTACTTGAGGATCAGGTCCCAGATGGCCCTGCGGGCGTAAGGATCCACCCCCGCAGTGGGCTCGTCCAGAATGACGGCCCTGGAGCCACCTACGAAGGCGATGGCCACCGACAGCTTCCGCTTCATCCCACCTGACAGGGTCTGGACCAAGCTGTGACGCTTGTTAGATAGCTCCAGGTCCACAATCATTCTGAACACACACACACACACGCACACACACCCAATCAAGTCAAGTTTATCTATGTAGCACATTTCAGGAGCAAAGTGCTTTAGATGATTAAAACAGAACACAACAAACTACAGCAAACTACAAAAAAAGAAACATTACAGTCCAGTAGCAAAATAAAAGTCATAAACAGCTGTAATCCAATCTCAAATGAATCTATGTTTCAAATACAACTCTAAACAGGTGGGGTTTTAGTCTAGATTTAAAGGAACTCAGTGTTTCAGCTGTTTTACAGTTTTCTGGAAGTTTGTTCCAGATTTGTGGTGCATAGAAGCTGAATGCTGCTTCTCCTCATTTAGTTCTGGTTCTGGGGATGTAGAGCAGAACGAGAACCAGAACCAGAGGGGTCTGGAAGGTTGATACAACAGCAGCAGATCTGTAATGTATTGTGGTGCTACGTTGTTCAGTGATTTATAAACTAACAACAGTATTTTATAGTTTATTCTCTGAGCTACTGAGCCAGTGTAGGGACTTAAAACTGGATGATGTGTCAGGTCTCCCAATCACCAAGGTTTCTAGTGGTGGGACGGGACTTTAACTTCTGTTTAGATACAGACCATGTCCGTCCATCCATCCATCCATCCATCCATCCATTTTCTTCCGCTTATCCGGGGTCGGGTTGCGGGGGCAGCAGCTTCAGAAGGGAGGCCCAGACTTCCCTCTCCCCAGCCACTTCTTCCAGCACCTCCGGGGGATCCCAAGGCGTTCCCAGGCCAGCCGAGAGACATAGTCCTTCCACCGTGTCCTGGGTCTTCCCTGGGGCCTCCTCCCGGTGGGACGTGCCCAGAACACCTCACCAGGGAGGCGTCCAAGAGGCATCCTTACCAGATGCAGGAGCCACCTCAACTGGCTCCTCTCGACGTGAAGGAGCAGCGGCTCTACTCTGAGTCCCGGATGACCGAGATTCTCACCCCATCTCCAAGAGAAAGCCCAGCCACCCTGCGGAGGAAACCCATTTCGGCCACTTGTATCCGTGATCTTGTTCTTTCGGTCATGACCCAAAGCTCATGACCATAGATGAAGGTGGGAGCGTAGATCGACCGGTAAATCGAGAGCTTCGCTTTTTGACTCAGCTCTCTCTTCACCACGACGGACCGGTACAGCGCCCGCTTCACAGAAGACGCTGCGCCAATCCGCCTGTCGATCTCCCGCTCCTTTCTTCCTTCATTCGTGAACAAGATCCCCAGATACTTAAAGTCCTCCACTTGAGGCAGGACGACCCCCACTGACCCGGAGAAGGCACTCTACCCTTTTCCGGCTCAAGACCATGGCCTCGGATTTGGAGGCACTGAGCCTCATCCCAGCCGCTTCACACTCGGCCGCGAACCGCTCCAGTGAGAGCTGCAGATCACGACGTGGTGAAGCCAACAGGACCACATCATCCGCAAAAAGCAGAGATGCGATCCTGAGGCCACCAAAATGGATCCCCTCAACACCTCGGCTGCGCCTAGAAATTCTGTCCATGAAAGTAATGAACAGAATCGGTGACAAAGGGCAGCCTTGGCGGAGTCCAACTCTCACCAGAAATGATCCCGACTTACTGCCGGCAATGCGGACCAGACTCTGACACCGGTCGTACAGGGACCTGACAGCCCGTATCAAAGGGCCCGGTACCCCATACTCCCGGAGAACTCCCCACAAATCCCCCCTAGGGACACGGTCGAACGCCTTCTCCAAGTCCACAAAACACATGTAGACCGGTTGGGCGAACTCCCATGCACCCTCCAGGACCCTGCTGAGGGTGTAGAGCTGGTCCAGTGTTCCACGACTAGGACGAAAACCACACTGCTCTTCCTGAATCCGAGGTTTGAGTATCCGATGGACCCTCCTCTCCAGGACCCCTGAATAGACCTTACCAGGGAGGCTTAAGAGTGTGACCCCCCTGTAATTGGAGCACACCCTCTGGTCCCTCTTTTTGAACAGGGGGACCACCACCCCAGTCTGCCAATCCAGGGGAACTGCCCCCGATGTCCATGCGATATTGCAGAGTTGTGTGAGCCAACACAACCTTACAACATCCAGAGCCTCAAGGAACTCCGGGCGGATCTCATCCACCCCTGGGGCCCTGCCTCCGAGGAGCTTTTTGACCACCTCGGCGACCTCGTCCCCAGAGATTGGAGAGCCCAACCTAGAGTCCGCAGGCTAAGCTTCCTCAACAGAAGGCATGTTGGTGGGATTGAGGAGGTCTTCGAAGTACTCTGCCCACCGGCCCACAACGTCCCTAGTTGAGGTCAGCAGCACACCATCCCCACTATAAACAGTGTTGGTGCTGCACTGCTTCCCCCTCCTGAGACGCCAGATGGTGGACCAGAATCGCCTCGAAGCCGTGCGGAAGT